TGATTAAGAACCAAAATCTAAAATGACTATTTTGCCCTTGGGGTACTTTACCTCATAACTCATTAAACACAACTCAAATGACTTGAGCATTCAGAGTGGCATATCCATGAGTTAATTGAAACATCAGAAGAGAATAATGTAGTTTTTCTTTTGTGTTTTTAAATTCAGGAAATAGGGTTTTCTAAATTGATTTATTTAACTATCCAAAATAAAATTTTTTGTATATGAGAAAATTATTAGAGGTTTCCTTGAGTTAGACTAATACCAAAGCAAAATTTCATGATTTTTTGAATTAAATTATTATTATTATTATCAAATTTTGTATTTTTATGTTTTTTAATTTATTTATTATAATTATTTAATGAGAAAATAAGGAAAATTCACTTTTAAGCTTTTAAATTTTATTTTTAACTTAGAAAAATTAGGAAAAATATCATAATGAATTCTAAGTGATCAGGGAAAGCTTGTACACATTTTGAACCATTTTTTGTAGTTTTAAAAATTTTGATTATTTTAATTATTTTAATTCAAAATACACTTTGAAAATGAAATTTTTTCAAAAAAATAGATTATAAAACTATTTTTCATGATTTTTCTAAGCTTATTTAATTTATGATAATTATTTTTGTACAAAAATACAAAGTTACTTTAAAAGTTAATTTTAGTGCTTAAATTAAGCTAAATAATTTTTAACTTTTACAGTAAGTAAATATGATTTTTATGCACAATGTGGAACTGATTTTGTCAAATTTCAATAAGTGTATAATTTACATAAATTATCACAAGGTTTATATATTTGATTAAATATAGAAATGTACAAAACAATTCGAAAGATCATAATATTTTTCATAGACTTGTCTGGCCAAAGGAAACCTACTAAGATTATCCTCATAATTTTCCAAATTATATTTTGATTTTTATTGATTTAGAAAAAGCTTACGATAAGGTTCCAAGAGATATCCTTTGGAGAGTTCTCGAGAAGAAATGTGTTGATATGACTTATATTCAAGTCATTAAAGATATGTATACTAGAGCTGTTACTTGTGTTCAAACTGAAGGAGGATTGACAAAATATTTTCCTATTTCTGTTGGTTTACATCAGGGATCGACTTTAAGCCCATATCTTTTTGCTTTAGTTATGGATGGTCTTACTGGACATCTACAAGAGGATGTACCTTGGTGTATGCTTTTTGCTGATGATATTCTTCTCGTGGATAAAACGAGAGAAAAAGCCCAGGAAAAACTTGAATTATGGAGGTCTACTTTGGAGTCTAAAGGCCTTCGTTTAAGCCCAGGAAAAACTTGTATTCAGTTTTAAGTAGAACTAAAACTGAATACATGGAATGTAATTTTAGTAGTAATAGCTCTAGTGACAGAAGTGTGACTTTGGGTGATCAAATTATTAAAAGGTGTGAACGATTTAGATATCTTGGGTCCGTTGTCCAAAGCGATGGTGATATAGATGGGGATGTTAATAGTAGAATTCAAGTTGGTTGGTTGAAGTGGAGGAATGCTTCGGGCCTTTTGTGTGATAGAAAAGTACCGCTAAGACTGAAAGGAAAATTTAATAAGACGGTGGTGAGACCTGCAATGCTCTATGGCGCTGAATGTTGGCCTTTAAAAGAGAAGCATAATAATAAGTTAAGTGTTGCCGAGATGAGAATGATTAGGTGGATGAGTGGCTTTACACTTAAAATGTGGAATGAATATATTCGTGATAGGGTAGGTGTAGCTCCTGTGACAGACAAAATTAGAGAAAGTCGTCTTTTAGATGGTTTGGTCATATTAAACGTCGACCATTAGATGATCCGATTAGGAGAGTAGATGTTTTAAATTCGACTTGTATAAGAAAGGCAGAGGTAGACCAAGGAAGACTTGGGCTTATTGTATTAAAAATGATCTTAATTTACTAGAACTAAATGAAAATATGACACTAAATAGGACCTAATGGAGAAAAAAGATTCATGTACCGACCCCACGTAGTGGAATTAAGGCTTTATTGTTGTTTTTGTTGTGGTGGTGGCAGGATTTAGCTTTAAATCCTGCATAATTCCTGCTTAAAACCGGCTAGTCCTCAAGTCTTTGCAGACTGAATTAATTTTGTCTCCCTCATTTCGCGAAGAAATCCAAACAATTTCGTGACTTCCGCGATCAAGAGCGAAGGCGCGATTAGGAAATTCGGAAGGCGTCGAGCAGGATAGCGGCGCGTGATTAGCGAAGGAAGTACGGTTCTCACACAAGCAGACCCCTGGGGTGTTGTCATCTCCCGATCCAGTATGGTGTTAATTTCGCTTGTTCGAGAATATATCGGGCGGATGTTGCAGGACATTTCTGGCATGAAAGTCCTCATTCTTGATTCTTGGACGGTAAGGTCTTGGAATTCCTCCTCCTTTCTTTCTTCCTTCCTGGGCTGCTCATTTATATGAAACTTAACGCGCTCGATTTATTTCTGTCACATTTACAACCGCCTGGTATCAACCAGGAGACTGGATCAACTTATTTTAGTAGGGAGCCTTGGAAAATTATCTTTTTTCTTTAGCGAGCATTCTAGATTTGAGACATTTAATAAGTTTTGTTTACTCGTTAAGCTTGTATTATGATGAATTTCTGCTAGAATCTGCGCAAATTTGGACTCAGAATGAATTGTCTTTAAAAATTTTGATTGGACAAGGGCTGGAAATGAAACAGCTCAAGCAGCTTTCCCTACCGGTTCAAAAACAGATTTGGAGGAATCACCATCTCTAAGCAACCGACTACTACTCTTCTTGTCGCCTACTCTCTTTCTCCCTCATTATTGGGCGGAAGTTTGGCACTTCTGGATAAGGAAAGACTCGCGTTAACATGTTTCAGATTAAACTTCTTTTCCTATTTGTGCGGTATTTGTTAAAGAGGATTACATGTATGCGTACATGTACTACTGATCAAGGCATCTATTTTCAAAGGATACTTTACTGCATTGTCATGCATATACCTATAATTACTAAAAGATGCATTAGGTTCATGCATGCAACCTAATCCTGCACTGATACAAAACTATTTTCATGTTTTAAATTCCTAGATATTAAAAGTGAATGAAGACCAGGTAGCAGTCAATGCTAGCTATATCCAAGCAGAAAAAATCGCACTGTACTATCTTATGTTTATCCTAAAATTGTATTTGATGCAGGTCAGTATTGTTAGTGTTGTATATTCTCAGTCCGAGCTGCTCCAAAAGGAAGTATTTTTAGTAGAACTGGTGGATTCAATGTCAAAAGAGCCAATGACGCATCTGAAAGCCGTTTATTTTCTTAGGCCAACATCCGATAATATCCAGAATCTCCGGCGTCAATTGGCTGTTCCCAGATTTGGAGAATATCACCTTTGTATGATGTCATAAGCATGCCTTATATATTTCTTTTGCCGCCTTCACTGAGAAGGCTAGCATTTTACACAAAATTCATTATTTTGTTTTTGTAGTTTTTTCTAATGCCTTGAAGGTCACTCAAATCCATGTTCTCGCTGATTCGGATGAGCAAGAAGTTGTTCAGCAAGTTCAAGTGAGTTGGTTATATTAACTACTCTTCTGCTTTTTCTCTCACTGTTCTTCCTACTTTTGTAGTCCCTACTAAAATAGCTGAGCTGTATTAAGAAAAAGAATGCACCAAATAATTATTTGACTAGTTTTGAGCCACTGAAGCTTGCTTGGTTGGTGGCTTGCGTTTATTTTGTATAATAAAAATGCAAGTAGATATGGAGCCGAGGAAAATCTATTCTGAAGTCAGCTTTGGATGGCGTTGGTTATTGGTTTTTCATGGCATGCTATCATGATTCATAATAGAGAAGCTTGCATAGATGATAGACCAAGTTGTGGAAGTATTGCTCAACTTTATGTGCTAAAACTACTTAGCTATAATATGAAAGAGATTGAACCTAAGAATTAAGGGCTCGTTTGGGGTAGCGTTATTTGCACGACACATTTTGAAAATACGTTTTTGGTCGTTTGGAAACAGCGGCGCGATGACGTTCTTAAACAATTTATGTAAAATACGGCCGCGGGTTCGACCTTGTGGCCCGCATTTCTTCGTGGGCATTTTACCCCGTGGCCATTCCCCCCTTCCCTGTGGGGTCCTTCTCTCGACCCCTCTCCCTCCCTCGCGATTCTTTTGCCCTAGGTACCTCTCTCCCTTGGATCCGTGGCTCCGGTGGCTAGGCGTTGTTTTCGATTGACTATTGTTGGTTACGAGTGGTTTGTTCCGGTGACCCTTACATACTTCTCCCTCCTCTCTCTTTTCTTCCGCTCGATTTGGTGGTTCTGTGCTTTGTGTGGTGGTTCCCTTTCATCGGTTGGTGGTTATTGCGGCGATATTTTTACTATTTTTCCCTCTCCATTCTCTTCTTCGGCACAGTTTGGTGGTTGTGCGCATTACGGGCCCCGTGCGATATTCCATCTTCTACCTCTGGTCCATGTTCTTCACTTTCTGCGCATTATGGTTGTTGGTTTCCTTTCATTGATTTCTCTGTTTGCTCGGTTTCGTGATTTTTAGTTTAAAGAGTGATGTCATAAACCACAAACCACAAACCACAAAGAAGCTATAAACCACAAACCACAAACCGAGAAGAGCAAAGAAATCGCATAGCACAAACCACAACAATAATGCTGCTAAAAATGAACATTGAAAGTAGGGTAGAAGGTACTGAATGTAGAAGGAGATCGGAGGAAGTGAACGTCGACAAACCCTCGTCGGAGAATGAGAAAAGCAAGGGAAGAAAGTAAACATTAGGCAGTGTCGTCGCTTGAAGGAGTAGCAGAGAGGGGTAGTCAGGTAATCACGAACCGAATGAATCGCTGAATGCGGGGGCCTAGTAACTTATCGAGATTACGCCACGCCTTATTAAAAAGGGCCGCGCTGTTCTTTCTGAATGCCACATTTATCATTTTCAAATCGTACCACAACAAAAAAAAGCTGTACCGAACACACCCTAAGTGGAAAATTCATTATTAGTTCTAATATAATATAATAATGAACTACATATTTATTAAAATAAGAACTTAGGTAACTTAATTTGAGAATTTAATTAATATTTACACATTAAAATACTATTAATTTCCTATATGCATATATTTATCAAAACGATCCTTATAAAATTTTGGATTTTAATAAAAATAGTTTTATTTATTTTTGTGCGCGTCTTCTAAAATTGATGCACTGTATGACCTGAATACAATGAAAAGTGTGTTAGAGCTGCTACACCGACCTCCGGGGTGTAGTAATGTCAAATAAGCAAGAGTTCTCACATTATAAACGAATGTTGGCCAAGAAGTTAATTATGAAACTGATATTAGAATAATATTTTGAAATATATGTATTCTCACAGGTAAATTAATAGAGTTATAGATATTATATTTCATAGGAAGATAAATATCTCATGCATTCAAGAAACTAATTGTGTTAGAGAAAAAGCTAAGAAGATTGATAGCTTGGATTTTAAACTTTGATATTGATGTAGGAATCACATCAGAAATGTAGATGTAATTATATATAAGAGTTTGAAAGATAATATTGTAAAATTATTAGAATTGGAGATAGAATTATATCTCTAAAGATTGTTGTTGATACTAAGACTTTTAATATTATAAGCGCTTATGGGTGATGCTTTTCAAGTAGCTTTAGATATAATTTCAAAAGAAAAATTCTGGAATGACTTAGAAGAATTAATACAAATGATGCCTATTGAAGAAATAATTTTTATTAGAGGAAATTTAAATGAACATGTTAGTAGAGGTATAAAATTTAAAAAATACTAATGATGACTATAATTTTGAAGTAATGAAGAATGTAGAACTATATTAAATTTTGTTTTAACGTATGATTTCGTTATTGCTAATACTTTATTTAAGAAAAGAGATGAAGATATTATTGCTTATAAGAATGAATTTAATAAAAGACAAATTGATTATTTTTTTATGAGAAAGTAGATTGCCAGGAAAGTAAAGATTGTAAGGTCATTCCAAATGAAAATTTAAGTATTCAATATCGATTTTTAGTTCTAACTTTTAAGATTAGGAGTTGTAAGATAGAAAATAGAATGAAACATTGTCATAGAATTAAATGGAGGCACTTAAAAGATACAATTTAAATTATTTTTATGAGTAAATTTCAAGATTTGAGATAATGGAGATGTTAATTCTATGGAGATAAAATTACATACACTATTAAATATGTGGCAAAAGATGCATTTGGAAAATCAAATGAAAAAAAAATATAAATAAAAATAGTTGGTGGTGAAATAATAATGTACAAAAAAGATAAAATATAAAAAAGATAAAAGATAAAATATAAGAAGTTGTGTTATAAAAATTGATTTAAATGTAAAATATTAGAGAATTGGAAGAAATATAAGGTGACCCGTATGGAGTCTAAGAAAATAATTTGTGACGCCAAGAATTCTGGATTACTTGTTATGTGATGTGTGACACCAGAATCAATGACCCATTGCGTGGAAGAGGAAAGAAGACAAATACAATTGTCACCTGACTCAGTAATGAAAGTGACAATTTGAGATTTCATGGATAATTCCAAAAATTAGATGAATTTAGCATATCCACTTGCAGAAATTGAGAAATTCTGATTTCAGAGGCCTCATTATTAATGACCATGTGAGCTGACTGCTGGCTGTGATCTAGAATTTTTCTATTTTTTTGAGCTACTTTTGACTCGTTTTCTTCGTATGATCTAGTTCATGATAGTAGTAGCAAACTTCCTTGAGTCTTGATTTTCATTTCCATAATTGCTTTGAGACTGAGATTTATTGATGTTTGTATTTTTTAGCTAGCAAGAGTATTAGGTTGTTGTATGGATGAAACCTAAGAGCTCAGAATAGTACATAACACTCTAGTATAGGCTTCGCTCAGAGTAGTAACTTCTTGATTAGATAAGATATGTGATTTCACACCTTCATACGGTGAGTTGAGGCCATCTAGAAATCTTATAATAATCATTTGTTCTCTTTGAGCTTACTGAGTACGAACATCAACACGAAAGGGTTATAGTACATTCAATGCATCATAAACACTTTTAAGGCGCATGTGATACATGTTAAGTGATTGATCTCGTTGTTCAGCTCGATAAAACTCCTTGCAAACATTAAAGATTCGAGAAATATTTCTCCTCTCTAAAAAACTCAAACACTAAATCCTCCATTGCATCTTTAACATAGTTGTAATGAGTAGTATAATTCAATTTATCAGGTTCGATAGTGTTTCATATTGTTATTAAAATTTGGGCATCAAATCTCATCCACTTAGAATAGTTCAAATCAGTCTCGGCTGGGGGATTATCAATGAGGCATCTCTCTTGAGAGACACTTCTTAAGTAAGATCTCATAATTTCCAATAAAACTAATTGATGTCATTTAATTTTTTATCCGTAATTTTAGCCATAGATGATGCCAAATTTGTCACACCATATTTCTGTTTCACAACCATGATTATCACCAAATATAAGATTAAATACGGATGAGCCGAAAGGCGAGATGAACTCTAGATGAAGTGATGCAACGAAACAGTCGATGAAGTTGAATAGGAAGAAGGCAAAGCAACCAAACGAAACAACCGACTCAATTGACCTTGGCAAACAAAGTTGACGAAGCCGCACAAGGCATACAATTCTTCTGGACAAAGACGATGCCAAGAGCTTCTAGACGAAGCCACACAAAGCTGACGATGCTTCCGGATGAAGACAACTCCTAACGAAGACAAAGCCGGAAGGTATGTCGATACATATGACACTATTTGAAGCAGACAAAGATGTCACAGGAAGTAGACGATGACGTCGCAGGAAACAAGTGATGCTTCCAGATGATGTAGATGACGCTGTTCGAGTAGACTAAAGTCGGAACGAGTTTGAGGCCAAGACAAACGATTCACAGAGGCTAACGTCGAAGAAGAAAGATGCGGACAGGAACAATTGGAGGAAGCTCTAATAACATTTAACGAGAAAACTTTCTTTCTTCTTATTAAATTGAAAAATATGCTATTTATATACACTCCTATCATTTTAGGTTAGGAATATTAATTAGATCTCTATTTAGGTTACTTAATATCAAGCTTTATAGTATACAAGCATCAGATTTAATACTTTCCATTACAGTGACGAGGCTTACATCCATTGGAAGATAATATAACCGTAGAATTCCTTATGTTGTGGTGTTTTTGTTAATTATAACTTCTTGCATCTTTTAGTTGGTAAAGCATTATGGTTTTCTGTACATATAATATGGTTTTTTTATTTGCAGGAATTCTTTGCTGATTTTTGTGCCATAGACCCTTACCATTTCACATTGAATTTGCACAGTAATCACATGTATATGCTCCCAGCAGTTGTAGACCCTCCAAGTTTACAAAGCTTCTGTGATCGCATTGTGGATGGTATTGCTGCAGTTTTCTTAGCACTGAAGCGCCGGCCTGTCATTCGATATCAACGAACTTCAGATGTTGCAAAGAGGATTGCACAAGAAACTGCTGTGAGTGTTAATTTAAATATCATAAAAATTAAATTCTCATATTTAACTTGTCTCCTCTTGTAAGACTTCTCATTATGATTTTTACTTGCCTTGTGCTCTTTTTACTCCACCGTTCTCATGACTAGTATAATTTTTTTTTCTGAGTAAATCACACTTGGCTCTATTTTATTTGAATTAAATTCTGCAGAAACTTATGTATGAGCAAGAAAGTGGCCTGTTTGATTTCAGGCGTACAGAAACTTCTCCATTATTGCTCGTCATTGATAGAAGAGATGATCCAGTTACACCTCTGCTGACCCAGTGGACGTATCAAGTAGAGTGGCTATATTTCCTTGTTATATATTTTATTCTTAAGTTTACCTTTTTTGATAATTTTCTATTAAAAGTTTATTTAGTTTTACTTTTACCACAGGCAATGGTTCATGAACTTATTGGTATCTTAGATAATAAAGTTCATTTGAGAAATGTAGGCACGGTCCCCAAAGATCAGCAGGTAGCATTCTATTGATCCTCCCTCCTTTTGTGTCATTTCCACATTTTATTGTCATACTGTGAGAGCTAATCAATTCAATACGCTCTATTCTTAAAGGAGGTGGTGTTGTCATCAGAGCAGGATGCATTTTTTAAGGCTAATATGTATGAAAATTTTGGAGATCTTGGATTGAATATCAAGCAAATGGTGGATGATTTTCAACAGATTGCAAAGAGTAATCAGAATATTTTGACAATAGGTAGATTTGAAAAAAAATTGTATGGTCTTTAAAAACAAACAATGCACAGACCTAGTTTTAGATGGTAAGTTTTGTTTCAAGTATTTGAATAATCTATTGAAATTTTAATACCTGCAGATGATATGGCGAAGTTTGTGAACAATTATCCTGACTATAGAAAGATGCATGGAAATGTCTCAAAGCATGTAACCATGGTTACCGAAATGAGCAGAATTGTAGAGGAGAGGAAACTCATGTTAGTTTCACAAACAGAACAAGAACTTGCATGTAACAATGGACAAGCAGCTGCTTTTGAGGTACTTTGGTTTGAATATTATTTGTTCACTCAGATGTTCTAGTTTTTGCGTGAAAATTCTAGTTTATTTCTTTTTTAAACTGATTAAAAAGCATTAATCGTTTTTTAATGCTATTCATATAGTTGATGTAGCAAAACATGAATTCACATTTTTTGTTTTGTGAGACTCCATGATTTTTTTCTTAATTAGTTTATGTTTTCAATCAAAATGCTGAAAGTCAAATTCAGGCTACTTGAAATGGATCTGAATAATGTCTGCTACTTTTGCCTTGCTAAATTAGGTTTCTTGAAATGTGTCTGAATAGTGTCTGCTATTTTGATGAGCATAGTCCAATTATTGGATTTTGGTAAATTGCATTGCTGTAACTCTGCGTTTTTGCTTGAAATATTGCCAATTGAAATGAGTAATTATAAATACCCTTTATGTTACGCTTGCTTGCTTGATGTTGTATTTAGATATTTTGGCCAGAGATTTTTGTAAATGATATAGCGTTCAATTCTATAAATGGAGAACAAAATTTGTACAAATTATACTTATTATTTATCAACATCGCATATTGCAGTATTATGTATTATGTATGGTAGAATTGGAACTATGACTGATCTCAATTCAGATGAAAAATGAATTAATTTAACTTGGTTAACTTGCCGTTTGATTCCTCCCAACGTCAACCCAGGCTAATAAGTTTTGAAAGTTGACCTTCTGTGTTTGTTGTTCTTTTCCTTATCATTCCTCTTTCTGTTTTCCCAATTTTTTTTTGTTTTCCCTCATTCTCTCCACTATTTCGTCCTGCATCAATTTTTACTATTCATTTCTCCTGCCCCACTGTTCAGTTTTCTTTTTCTGGCATGCCATTGCCAATTTGTCGTTTAGATAGTAGCCTCCCTACCCAACGTGCAGGTCTTTCCAAGGTTAACCCAGAGTCATCAGATATTTAAGTTGGCTTTCTGTATTTGACTATATCTTTGTATTTTCTTTCTTATTCAACCCCTCTTGTTTTCTTTTATTTTTTCCTTTCCTCACTCACCCAACAATTTAATTCTGCATCTGTTTTCTCCATTCTTTTCTCTCACTGTACCAAACAGTTTTGTTGTTCTGACAGAACATTGTCATTTAAGATACTAGTCTCCTCTCCCAAGTTCAAACTCTAAAAATAGAAGGAAGAAAGGTAAACAAGGTAAAACACTGAATATGAACTTTTTGTTATTTGCTTCTGGCTTCCACCGTCAACTTCTGTTGCCATTGAACTCTTTTATGATTTTCTTATCCAAATCAACGTTTTAGTTCATATCTGTTTACGATCGTTTCTCTTGGATCTTCTAAAATTCTATGAAACTTAATTAAAATAGTTGTATTTGATGCAGCTCTTTTCAATCCAAGCTACATTTCCATGACCATTAATGTTGACCTACACATGCCATAACGTACCACAAATTGAGCCTTGCCAAAATCAAAGTTAATACCAATCTTCGAATATGTCAATATACAAGGTCAATTCAATGTACCATGATCATCATCAAAATTGGACAATCATCATTTTATCATGAAATGATTTACATCAGTGCTTTTAGAACATCAAGTGTCAAATAATGATCCCTGCAATCAATTTTGACGAGCAGACGCATCATCAAGCAAATCCTGCCTGAAATGCAGTATGATAACATACCTGGAGCTTTGAAATACCTGATAAAGACTCATCTGATCACTAAATAGCCACCTGACTAAACTGACGGATTAAGAATATGATTGTTTACAAATGTCGCCTCTTTTGTAAAATGGATTGTGCCGATATGTCTGGAACGTCGAAAATACTTAGGGGAGACATCCATAGCACTCTATATACCACATGAAGACAAAATTCAATATTTTCCCGGGCATAAGCCGACAACATAAAATTCAAGGCCCACAACTTGCCAATTTTTAAGAGAAAATGATGGACATATTAGATAAAAAATTTAAATTAAAACAAATTAAAGTTAGATTGAATCCACTTAAATACTTATTTTATATGATTACACAATTTAAAATTAAGATTATTGTTATTAATTAAATTAAATCATATTAAATTAAAGATGCATTAGAAAGACAAAAAATATTTATTTATTTATTAAAAAGTTTCAAACCAAAATTCAAATTGAATTCTTATATTCCCAATCAACTCACAAGAATTTCGCAATGTAGTGTAGCGAGCAGTCCCTACGCTCATCTTTGTTACGTTGTGCTATGCCACGTTCATTCTTAAATAAAGAGGAATCAAACTCCTCTCTCATTCTGATTATTCATGCACTCTCTCTTCTATCGTCTCCAATCTTTTCCCTCTAACATACCTCACAACTTGCAACCCCCTCTTCACCGTGTTTTTCTCCTATTCTCATTCTGATTATTCATGCCACTCTCATTCTGATTATTCATGTCACTCTCAAAGGCACACATCCCACGGCTTTTGGTTGCCCTCTAACTATATCCATCCCAATTTCTCTAACCTTTGCAGGCTATTCCCTTTTCTCTTACCTTCATGCCTTTCTTTTTCTCTCCACCCTCATTGCTTCCCCCAATTGAACACCTTTAAAACAACATCTTTCGAATGCCGACAACATTTGCAGCTAGTTGCTCAACACATGAATGAGCCAGTTTTGAAGCTTATGTCGGCCGCTTTACTACCATCTGACAGTCTTCCCACTGTCAACCACACCTCGACGAACTTACCTTCTCAACTTGGCCTCTGTCAATCTGACACCAGTGAAATTCTAGCCTACGTGTAGGGTTGTAATCGAGTCGAGTAGAGTTGAGTATATCTTGAATTGGACTCGGCTTGTCTGCATTAGAAGTTTATGTTCAACTCGAGTTCGAGTTGAACTTTCACATGTATATTCATACTTAGCTTGATTAAAGTTTTTAGAAATTGTACTTATGCTAGATTTGCTTATATTAATTTTATGAATTATTCCAATAATTAATAAACAAGTTAAAATTCGAATGAATACTTACCTTTTCATATAAATTTATTAGCATATGATTTTATAAATCTAAAGAAATAAACAATTCAATGAATTTTGAATTAGTATCTAACTAGTTTAAACCAATTAAATAAGATGATAATTAGTTGTAAGTAAGCTTTCTTGCAATCAAATAATATAAATTAGTATTAACAAACCACTTCATTGAAATAAAGAGTAAGCATGAATTGTATTAAATTATAATATGTTACTATTATATTTATAAATAAATATATTCTAGTAAATTTAATTTTATTTAAATAACATATATGATATAATCTATCATCGAACTTACTATATATTAATTATCATTTGTTGAACAATAAATGAATTGTTGGTTCACGAAGATAAATAAACGATTGGGATCACGTTTAAGTATTGTTTGTTTAACCTTAAGCTTTTAAAAATTGTTTAAACTTGTTTATTTTTTAATTTGAACAAACTTGATGAAATATTGATCAAGCCAAGTTTGAGCTATTCATAAAACACATGGTTCATTTATAGGCCTACCTACATGCCGCCTTATTCTATATTATTCTTAGGGTTTGTTTGGGTTGGCTACAACTTCTTAAAAAGGTGGTTTTAAAGGCATGCTAGGGAAAATAACTTCTTAGAAAACTGCGGTAAGAATTATATATATATAGATATCAAAAAATCAGGCAACTTTCTTACAACCACAACATTTTTACAGTTCGAGTTGAAAAGAAACAACTTCCCATCACATAAATTTCTAGAAACTAACAAGGAAACGGTTTTCCAAACAGCGTTGTGCTTGTCGTTTGAAATGTAAAGCAGAAAGAAAGTTGTCCCAATTAGACCCTTAATCTCTAGTTTATAACTCTCCATAGTATCCACCTTTCCTTCCCTCTCAATCTTTCCCTTTCCCCGTCTCTCTCTGTCTCTCTCTTTCGCTCTCTCTTTCTAATGTATATTGTATTAAAAAAGAAATAGAAAAAAACTTTAAACAAAAAAAGAAAAGACAAAAATAAAGAGAAAGAGCTTAAAAAAAACGCGTTTGAAAAAAGAGAGGTATAAATTAAAAAAATCTCGTGTCTATCTCGCCCTCACAAATTTGTTGCTTTGTTGCAATCTCGTCGCTTTGCCTCGTGCGAAAGGTTAAAATGCTGAAAATCGCAACAACAACAAGCCTTTGTACCCACTAAGTGGGGTATGTTACATGAATCCTTTTCCTCTATTTTGATGTTAAGTGTCATATTTTGATTTAACTTTGATAGATTAAGATTATTTTTTATACAATATGCCCAAGTTTTTTTAGGTCAACATCTATCTTTCTTAACATAAAACAAATCTAAAACATATACTGCCTTACCCTAATACTATCATCAAATGGTTCACGTTTAATGCAACCAAACAGTTTAAGACGACTCTCTCTAATCTTGTCCGCCATTGGATATACACCAAACCTTTCACGGATATATTTATTTCGCATTTTGCCTCTAAGTGTAAAGCCACTCATCAACCTAAGCATTCTCATCTCAATTACACTTAACTTAGTTTTTTGCTTTTCTTTTATCGGCCACTATTATGCACCATAGAATATTGCATGTCTCACCATCATCTTATAAAATTGTCCTTGAAGTCTAAGCGGCACTTTTCTATTACACAGTAGAGCCGATGCATTCCTCCACTTCAACCATGCAACTTGAATTTTACTAATAATATCCCCATCAATATCACCATCACTTTAAAGAATAGACTCGAGATATCTAAAACATTTACTTTTTAATAATTTTATCACTCATTGTTACAATCTCACTGCTAGATCTACTACTACTAAAGTTACGTTCAATATATTCAGTTTTAGATCTACTCAAATGAAACCCTTTAGACTCTAAAGTGGACATCTATAATTCAAGTTTTTTTTTAACTTTTTCTAGTTTTTTTCACAAGTAGAATATCGTTAATGAAAAGCATAAACCAAGGTACATCCTTTTGTAAATGTCCTTTAAGAACATAACTAAAGCAAAAGGATGCGGGCTTAAAGCTAACCCTTGATGTAATTCCACGGAATAGAAAAATACTTTGTCAAAGATCATGTTCGAACACAAGTAATAGCTTTAGTATACATATTTTTAATGACTTGAATATAATTCATGTCAACCATTTTTATATTAAGTCGATCATATTTTCAAAGCATTCATAAAACTAATAGTTTCGCAAATTTTCTTAACCGCACATCCTGTGCTCTTAATCATATCCTTCACTATTAAATTCAATATATGTGCATAACAACGCACATGAAATAATTCTCCTTCAAAAAATAATGTCTTTTAACCGGTAAGCTATCATGATCATTACTTGAAGCATTATCGACTAATATAATGAATAATTTATTTTCAAGACCATACCTACTAAGTGTTTTATAAAAAGTTTAAATAATTTTAGAAGCTACATGTGGAGGAGATAGATGTAAAACAAACTATAAACACACTTTTGCAATCTCCAACTTGAGTCAATATAATATGCAGTGACTACCATATATGATATTTTTTGATTCTTCGATTTTCGCCAATCTGCAGTAAAATTTTGTTAATACTTTTCAATGCATTCTTCAATTTTCATTTCTCTTTATCATATACTGCAATGTCATCAGTGTGAGCAGTCGTTCTTGAATATTTAAAAAAATATGGCGAAATGAATTTCATAACTAGATTGAATCCGAATTCTCAACAATTGAAAAATGATTCTCATTAATCAATATATAATGTGCTATCATCTTTCGTACGTTTGAACAATTATACTAAAAAGCTGTCAATAACCCCCTTTGACTTGCTTCTATGAATTCTCACTTTCTTTGGGTTGGAATTATAATATTTTTTTTTGTTATTGTACAAATCCTAACAACACATCGATCCAAATGTCTCCAGATATGTGTAGTTGCACCGGTTTTCTTCAAGTATTTTTTAAAACGAAAATATTATCCATTCTATCGACCAACAGGAAAAATAATCTCTTTAAACTCCTCCCAAATCTGTGAAGTTTTTTTTTTATTTCAATTGGATTTTCAGGTTTATAATCTTTTGCATCTTTGTCAACATTCTCATGAATAACTTTATTTTACAATACAAACATTACAAATTCAGTTTTTATTTCCAATGATGCATATTATTCAATGTGATATCACACCCATTGGTCGTCGTCATCATTGCACTCAATTGAGTTGGGTTGTGGTGCATACACGATAGTTAATTAATTTTTTTGGGAAAAAAATATTTAAAATATTTGCATATGCAATCACAAAATTTGATCTTTAGATCTTATTCTTTATATTTTAAGTAGTGTTTACAATGTCTACATCACAATGAATTTTCAAGATAATATTAGGCATCCCTAGATCATGGGGACAGGTTTTACAAAAAAAAACAAAGCTAACAATGTTCAAGCATTAAAAGTTCAATAATTCAAACCCTTTGATGATGAACATAAAAAAAAAAAAAAAAAAACTCCAAATATTTAACCAAAATTAATTGCTTATGGCTAAAGATCAAGATTCATCTATCTTGCGCAGTAGTCTCATGTGGATTACAAATTTTAGATAACCTTAAGTCGCAATGAGTTAATGATATATCAAGCATACTTCTATGACCACTCTAGCTTATGATATGGATATGACATCTGAAATAACAACATGGAATTGAACGGTTATAAAGAGAGTCCTTTAATGAGAGGTTCATCGTAAAATGATACAATCAAATTAAAATTAAGGTAGAGTTAGTAGCTTCCTCAATGGTCTAACTCCCCGAGTGGTGAATTTTATGGTGTATTTCGCAGGGGATAGACCTCTATTTTAGCTAAGGTTTATTTAGAATTATCATCATAAACAATCGTCGACTCTATGATTATTTTAGGGGTGTAAACGAGCGAAGTCAAGCTCGATTCACAGTGAACTTGATCTTCACTCGTCTGTGAAACAAGTTGCTTGAACTCGAGCTTGAGCTTGTCTCGGCCAATATTATGAGCCCGAGCTTGATCTTTAGTTTATTAACAGGCTCTAGAGCTCGAGTCGAGAAACATGTGACCAAAGCTCGTTGAAGGGTTGTCGGAGGAACTTGTGGCCAGAGCTCATCGAAGAAGGCATCACTTAGATCGGCGGTAGGTGCTAGCTGGAGAAGACACCCCTGAATCGTTCCGAAATAAGAGAACTAAATAAACAATGAGTACTTTTTATGTTTAATTTATTACTGCATTAAATACAAGTCATCTTTCTCTTTTTTTAAATCTTGTCAAAGGAATTTATTCTGACAACTGCCATAACTTTGTTTTTATTTGATATATTAAATTCTTAATTTTAAATATTTACTTTTATCGAGTGAGCTTGCGAGTATACGGATCATTTACTAAGCTCAAACTCGAGCTAGTTTAATTTACGAGCTTGAGTTGTGCTCGAGCTCGAGCTTGTGGCTCGATAAGTTTAACTCGCAAGCTCGTTAGCGAGTCGAGTTCTAGCCAGCTCGACTCATTTACGCTCTTGACTATTATCAAAGATACTTTGATTAGGTTGAGTTGGCTATCTTCTCTAAATAAGTAGGTTGAGATACACGACGGAATTATGGGATCTTGATCGGG